AGAGAGAGAGAGAGAGAGAGAGAGAGAGAGAGAGAGAGAGAGAGAGAGAGAGAGAGTTAACACCCTGAGTCTTCATTACTCTCGTTTCGAGTGATCACTTGGCAGGCTCCAAGATCGAAAAACGAAAGGAAAAAATAAAAAAAGAGAGAGAGAGAGACTAGGGTTGCGGCAACATGACAACACGCACCAGTTGCATATTGTGGCAGACTGTTTCGTTGCACGTGTGTGTGTGTGTGTCGCATATGTGCACAGACGCGAACGCGTAAATGGTGCATGCCATACTGTTTCCAACGGCCGTCGTCCTCAGCGCCCCGTGCTAGCCTCCTCCGTACGCAAGCGTAAAAGGGACGGCGTCAAAAGTCGTGGGTGCAAGAGCGTCGACGACTTGAAATGTAGTAGCAGACGACGATAACTCATCAGATCCTTTTCTTTTATAAAAGGGCGATGGCCTTGAGGTATTATCATCTGACTAACCAGTCCAGGTAAATTCAATATTGTGTATAATCTGACATCGGGTGACCTTGATTTCCTTCAGGGAACCCCCAATGGGGACCGACCACGGGACAGCCGGTAGCAGAGGGACCGAGCATCATTTGAGTGGCCAGTCGTTGTGCCTCCCCGATTACCCCTCCCCCTATAAACATTAGCAGAGACTGCTTTTTAATGCCAATTGGGGGGACCAACGGGCTATCTCTAGGTTGCAGGCACCAAACATGCCCAGGAAGGTACATGAGGTCAATGGGGATTGAGCCCAAGACCTCCTGAATGCCACTTGCGTGCCTTACCAACTGAGCTAGGTCGCTGGATAACTCACCAAATCTTCAAATGTTCGAACATGAAAAAAAAAAAAAAAAACTCACAAAATATGCAAAGTAAGAATGAATCTCCCCTGAGCAAGTGGGAAGATGAAGGGTTGTTTCTTTCTTTTCCTCCTTTGTTGTCACAACTTGTTAGAACATGAAAAAAAAAAAAAAAAAAAATCACAAAATGTGCAATTTTTAATGAATCTCCCCTGAGCAACTGGGAAGATGAAGGGTTGTTTCTTTCTTTTCCTCCTTTGTTGTCACAACTTGTTAGAACATGAAAAAAAAAAAAAAAAAAAATCACAAAATGTGCAAAGTGTGAATGAATCTCCCCTGAGCAACTGGGAAGATGAAGGGTTGTTTCTTTCTTTTCCCGCTTCATTGTCACAATTTGTCATCACGTGTATCGGCTCCAAGACTCACCAGTCAGTTGTGGGCTGACCCTCCGCCCCTCCCGAACACCCCCCTCTTTTCTCGTTCCCTCGACACTTTCTCGAACAAGAAACGATTGGACGTCGTCCAAAACGACAGTTGAACGACCTTTGCAGGCTACCACTGGTCGTTCGGTTTTTGACTTTGCTGCGACCGCTTAAACGACCGGTCGGTCTTATGACAACGACCGCATCCTTCTGCTCCATATTCCCACGCTCTCTACGCCGCTCCAAGCCTCCCAAAAAGTCATCGACATTTCCCGATCGTGAAACCCTCTACGCGCCAAAAATGCAACTGGTATAGCGCAGCCTCCTGACTGCGAACAATTCTCGAAGAGAATGCTAAGAAATAAATAGGGCATTCGCCGTCATCTCTACACAAGCCGCTGACAAATGGGCACACGAATGGTACATTTTGGACTTTTGCAAATCTGTGTGGCTGGTCCTATAGGTCCCAGTGTGAGTATGCCCTAGTTGTGACACATGGAGGCCATATCAAGCCGGAGCAGGGGTCGCCTTCCGTGGGTGGGCAGCTGCTCCGGGACCTGGTCATTGTCCAATCCACCCTAGCCTGGCAGAAACCAAGCCCTGGATTTAGATGACAACCACCAAGCTAGCTAGAAGGGATAGTCAGCAATGGAGGGGGGTACTGAAGCAAACCAGAGAAGGGAAGAGGAAAAAAGGATTGTTGGGTGCAAAGGTACACAATAAAAGGTCGTGAACGCATACTCGATGGCATAAAAGGTCATGAAGGCATACTCGATGGCATACTCTTTGTGCCCATCTCTTTGGACCAAAATATGTGCATCTCTGCACTTTTGAATGAATGAATTCTCATTTCTTCATGTTCGAACTACATCATAGAGGTTTTTCATAGCATCAGTCGTCTTCATACTTTTCCATAACATCGACCGTCTTCATATTTTTTGTGGTCTTTACTATGGGAGTTATGTCAGTCCACAACAGTCGTTGGCTGCTTCAACATCATGATGTACCGACTTCGTACCCAAGAAAATACTCTTGGAACGCAGCTCGCCAGTGAACGGCCTGGAGGGCACAAAGGACGACGAACGACTTTGAAAGCAATAGGTGATGGCAAGATTTACGGGACAAGGCAAAGGGGTGTGAAGTGTTGAGAGGTAGGCGGCCTGACAAAACGGCACAATGACTTCTTCAGGTATGAGGGAACAACGATCCTTATTTACGACAAAGTCGTTGTCGGACTTTTATGCTTTTTCGTTCTGTGTTTGGCATAATCGTTATTTATGACAAACAATATTTCGTTGAGATCACTATGAGGCTTTTATAACTCTTTCTTTTATGATAGGTTCTCTTGCGCATGTTTTTTTGTACTTCTGCGAGGGTGAAAACAAAATATGTAAGAGGTCAGAAGAGTGTGCTTTCTTGACAAACATTATTGTGTTATTCCTTTGTCAAGCATAAGAAGGTACACACAATCTTGTCTTGGGGAGAAGCATACAAAGGTGCTTTATTG